ATTCTGAAACGGATAACAAATCAGTTTACCGAACAGTACCAGAATGGGCACTCGTCCAATTCGACAATTTAAGAAATCCTTATCTCCAGCACAAAAGTTCACCTAACGCATTGTTTAACCTCAACTCTATAAAATTCACGACCCCAATAATACATGGAAGTTTTGTGAAGAAAAATACATTATCTACAGGAGACAAAAATAGATAAATAAAGAGGAAAAAAGTGTGACGAGAATTCATTCATACCGATGTTTCAACTTAATCTAGTTTATTCCTTGTGTTTTGTTCGTCATCTTACCTTTTTCAGTAGCTATTATTCAATGTGAAATATGTCATCAATAAAGTTTCGAAACCATATCCAAACCAAAAACAAATCATTTAGTCCATTACTTTCGCCCCTCAATTTACTATACTATCCATGGCTCAAAATTTCCACCAAAAAAAAGAAGATAGAAATTAAAGCTTAAGTGACAATTTCACAATATCCTTTTACACACACAGAAAGCATAATTCCCATATATATAGTCACAGCGTTGAGAAAACAAACCGAGAGATAGATAATGCCTCCCCCTTGGGAGTGATCACCGGGCACCATGAACTCGATCTTGGCCTCAGTATCAAAAAAGCAAGCGCCTTTCCACTTAATTGACCCATTATTCGGTGTCAATGATCCGATATACTGCGGCATCAAATCAACAGCACTGTGAATGTTATTCATCACCGGCCATGAAATCTGATGTGGTAGCACCGGAAGCACGTCCCTCACTCTGAATGGTAGCTTAATTGCATCCCCAAACTCTAACCCTAAAATCATTACAAATTTCAATAACCACAGCTTCCTCTCGATATTCAACATATTTTCAGTGATAATTTAATAAAGTGAAGTTGAAACCGTAATTAATTATCTTAATTTGATTTTCGTTGTTAAGATTTAGACTTCATTATGGATTCAGGGAGTGGAATTTTCATTATTCAGGTTGGTGTGTTCTGGTGNTTTGATTTTCGTTGTTAAGATTTAGACTTCATTATGGATTCAGGGAGTGGAATTTTCATTATTCAGGTTGGTGTGTTCTGGTGGGAGGGTGAAGGGGAATAAGGGCCCTTTCGGGTTGAATTTCTTGTAGCTGGACGTGTGGAAAGTTGGAATATTCTGCTTGGTTGTGACCGCTGAAATGGACTTTCTTTTAGCTTTGAAAGTTTGATTGAACGTTTATTTAGCCCCGTTCGGCCCATTAAATTTCATTTCATTATATATATATTTTTTTTTTTATTTTCAATCACATAAATTACACATAAATCGAAAATTTTTCTTTCATTTTCAACCACTCATTTTTCAAAAAAATACTATTCTAACCATTTTTAATTTTGAAAAATGAGGGCCAAACTAGGACTTAGTGTGGAGAGAGAACCAATGTGATTAATTAGGATAGAAATAAATAACTGGATCAACAACTTTGAGGCAAGCCTCCTCATTGTCTATTATCGTTGAGCAATCATTTAGGGATCTTAGCTGATGATATGGAGTGTTCCCCTCTACCAAAAAGAGCAGGTGACCAAGTATCTTCGGCGCCTGAAGCCTTCTTCCTTCACTATTTAATGTGAACGACTAAAAAATCCAAAAAGCACGATCCAAGTGCTTACCTGTTAAGTAGGTGAGAGTTAGGTTTATGAACTAGTCGTTCTCACACATAAACAAGTTACAAATCAAGCCAAGAATAGTTTTCATCGTACCCTAATCGAGCTCAAGTGTGGGCTTGTTGGCTTCACAACATGGCTCTAAGGAACCCAAAGAGAGAGAGAGAACAATATTTTATGTCATATTTATTTGGAGTGAGTATCTATCATCAATAGTTCATTTTTGAATTCGTATAAAATAAAAGAGATCCACCTTAGCACCAATTAAAATCAGGTTTTGATGGGCACATCCAAGTTGGTTGAACAATCACATTGGGGGGCTCTGGAACCAAGCGTGGGGAGTTCGATTCCTGGAAGGCACAACTTGGAAGGCAAGATTTATCTTGGAAGGCAAGATGCTATAAGGCAGTGAAGAGGCTCCCTTTGGGAAAGGAGTAAAAATCGTGTGGGAACCTAGGAACCAACAAAGGCACATCCCGCGATTTACCTCCCTGAGCTACTGAGAGGCCGGAGATTCAAGGACGAGGATATAGTCTAACGCAAGTTGGGACACCTTGTTAAAAAAAATAAAAAATAAATAAATAAAATAAAAATCAGGTTTTGATAATTTCTTGGAGAGAGTTGACCGTTGCAGGATTACGATAACCAATAGTGCTTGCAATAGTGATTTCCAAATGCACCATCACTTGTCATCTTCAAAGAAAAAATCACTCTTGATTGGAAAAGCTGTTATTCATTGACTATTCAAATAAAGGGCTAAATGGTAAACGGAGAAAAAGACACAAACTAGTTGATAGGTAATTCCTGCATACGAAGTTAGTAATTGTCATATACAGGGGCCCACATAACAAAGCAAAAGCCAAATTTTAGGCATCTTTAGGATAATTTTCAATTGTTTTTATTGAGCCCCTGTTTGGTTCCTATTTCTTTTTCATTAAAATGAAAAATATGATCATTATATATCATATTAAATCATCAAATTTGAATTTTTATCTCGTAATAACTATATTTTTCATTATCATTTTTCCAAAAATGAGAAACAAACGGGGGCTGAACTTCGAAAGAAATTTCAATTAGATCAATAAGTCATAATTTAAGAAGAAGAGGGGAAGCAGAGGTATCCCCACTATATTGTTTAGGTTTAGGTTTAGGGTTAGGAATTATAGAAGCAGCCGATGGATTAATAGTGCATAAATGTCATTACAGCTGCGTTGCGACTTGTGATCAAAAGCGGATTTAGTCATAGCCAAGGCCAGCTTGGACCCAAATTCATTTTTTTAACTTATGGAAAAGAAAAATGAAAAAGAAAAAGACTAGCGTTTTTTTTTTTTTGTTTTTTTTTGTTTTGACATATTAGCTCGAAATAAAAAAATAAAAAATAATAATAATAAATTAGTGCAATCATAGCTCCGCCTATGCTTGTGATTGTCTTTGAACTTATCTTTTTTTTTCTTTTTTTAGTAATATTTGAACTTAATCTACATTTACAATCTACACATTCGATCCCTACTATTTTGCTCACTTTTTATCATAATTAGTTTCCTAACATTGACTTGTTTAAGTTTGACGGGATAAGGATATTTTTGACATAATTTTTTTTTCTATTTAGATGGTCAATCACTCAGCATCAACGAATTCTTGAAGCTTGTTGAGGGTGAGAGTTACCACAGTCGTGGTGGTCTAGGTTGGGGCCAGGGGTGTGGACGTGGTTCTGAAGGAGGTTACAGAAGTAGTCATATACAAGCACCTTCAATCGAAGATCCAAGCCACTTCCCTACATTGGGTGCCAAATGAGGTGTCATCTTACAATTTTATTTAGGACAACAAATCTCCCGAACCAAATCCGAACGGTTTTTCTTAAGTTAAATATTCGAACGGGTATTTGAATCGAAAATCGACGAGTTGGTTCTCAATTCTAGATCAAGAACCGAATCTCCTTAAATTTTTAATTAATTTATTTTAAATAAGTTAAATTATTTTATTTTTTGTAAATAAATTTGTTAACTAGTTAATTTAACTCTAACTCAAAAATATGATTTTCCTATTTCTAATTTTCAGTTCAAAACTAATTTAATTAAATTGATTTAAGTTTTATCCAAATCTATTACCCTATCGTAGTGTCGTTTCTATCGTTATGGAGAAATCAAAATAAAGATCGACAATGCCTCTCTTAATTATTGAAAACTCGCTATTTTTCTCTTCATGTGATTTTAACAATCAAATTTATGAAGAACTCAACAAAGAGAGAAGCAATAAACAGATAAGATTGGACTACGTTATTTTACAAGAGTTAGAATTAAACATATCGTTAGTTGAATTAACATAACATTGTAAATATTAAAAAATTTAATTATCATATGAAATCTCGAACCCGAATGGAATCGAGCCCCAACGGTTCCATAATTAAATTTGGACTCGACAATTCTACTTACTAAATACCTGAAAATTTTGGGTCCAGTTCGATTCTCGTTAGAACTGAACCGAATCGGATCATGTTTAGCCCTAATTTTATTTCAAATTCTCCCAAAGTGGTGGGATTAACAAGAATAATGGTGTATTTTATATAAAATGGTTCCTAAAGTTTATCGTTAAATGTAAATCTTTTCATGTGATATCTCCAATTGCAAAACATCATTTTCATTCAATTTCTTAATAAAAGCTATAAAATGATGAATATGCCTTCCCATTTCTAATTTTTAATAATTTGTTTGGGATTCATTTGAACTTTTTTTAAAAAAAAATTAGAGCTATGGTTGCAATTAGTTCTTTATTTTTCTTTTCTTTATTTTTTTCTTCTATTTAAATAGGAAAATACATTCGTCATTTTACATTTTTTTATTGAGAAATTGAATGAAATGGGTGTTTTACGCAATCAAAGATTTAATTAATATTTGTTTGACCCACAGCACAAAAAGTCTAGCTCTGCACTCGAATATCAACTATGAATTATAAATGAATTTCGCGTACTTCCTTGGTGTATGAATCTCAATCTCAATAATAATAATAATAATAATAATAATAATAAAAAAGGTTGAACTCCAACCTTGAGATTCCATCGTTTCGTCCTTAGAGTTTTGTGAAAGAGGTAAATCGTGGGATGTAACCCAACAGGTTAGGAAACAAGAGTTGTCTGTATACTGCGCCTACAAGGAGTTCAATTCTATGTCTCAAGAATCGAACCCCCACACTGTGATTGCCAACAAAATGTGAAATATCCTCACTCCTATTCTTTGTACCACTGAACTATATCTCGGGGCGTAAGAATCTCAATCTCGGTAGTTCTTATGGTTGACAGTAGCTCCAAATCTGCTAAACTATTCACCCACAAACTGACAACATAAATAATTATAATATTAAATTATAAGCATTTTCTAACTTATTTCATCCACACACTACCACGGGTGCTAGCTAGCTGCAATAATGGAACAACCTAAAGAATTGGTGTTCATCCCCGGTCCGGGAGTGGGCCACCTTGTCTCCGCCGTGGAAATTGGACGCTTAATCGTCAGCCGCCACCAAAACCTCTCTATAACATATCTTCTCATTGATATCCATCCAAATGACAAATCCCTTGATACTTACACGCAATCACTGCCGTCATCCGCCACTTCACGGCTGCGTTTCACCAAGATCCAGCGTGCAGAAACCGAGTTAAGCCCAGAACTCGATTCAAAACCCCTAGCCGTTTTGGCTATTCTGCTTTTTGACAGTCATAAGCCATATGTGAGAGAAGCAGTTCTTGAAATCATTGAATCCGAGTCTTCCCAGGTTGTCGGAATTATAGTTGACATGTTCTGTGTAAACATGATGGATGTCGCCGATGAGTTCAAGATTCCGAGTTACGTGTTCTTTACCTCCAGCGCTGGCTTTCTTGCCCTCATGTTACAGGTCCAGGTTTTTTCTAGTAGACTCGTAGCTAATGATAAATTAGTCTCCAATGCTTAGCTCAAAGCCAGAAATTTAGTTGTTTATGATAAATTTTAAATTATGGTTGAAAGTTTATAAAAGTTGTGGATATGGTTGAAAATGATTTTGTGGAAAAATACGTAACTAGTAACCTAACATGTGACAGGCCCAGGTTATTACCGAAGAGTTCAAGCAGGACATAACTGAGTTTGACATGGACAAAGAATTGTTGATTCCGGGTTTTCTAAAACCAGTTCCGGCTAAGGTTTTGCCCACTGTAATGTTGGATAAAAATGGCGGGGTGGATATGGTCGTGTCTACTGCTCGGAGAATCCGAGGTTCTAATGGAATCATGGTGAATACATTCCTCGAACTTGAGACAAATGCGATCAAATCTCTGTCGTCTGATGATAAGATCCCACCTGTTTTCCCTGTCGGGCCTGTAATCAGTCTTGAGCAGAATTTAGGCGATAATGGGGGCATTCTAAGGTGGTTGGACAACCAGCCGGCTTCCTCGGTTGTGTTTTTGTGCTTTGGGAGCTTGGGGAGTTTCAATCGGGAACAAGTTAAGGAGATCGCAGTAGCACTTGAGCGAACTGGCTACAGATTCTTGTGGTCCTTACGGAAGCGGCCGAAGGAAGGTAGTGTAGAAAGTCCATCTGATTATGAAAATCTGGAGGAAGTTCTGCCCCAAGGTTGGTTAATTAACTTTGTCGTCCAATTTAAACATAACATCAATTTTCTTGAAAAATTTTACATGATAGACCTAACACACATTTATTAGCCATGTCAATGGCGTAAGCCCATGGAAAATGAACCTTTCCAGCCTATGGGGAGGGCTCCAAAAAGGTGACTGCGTTGATGAATAATTAATTTAATGTCCCTTAATCAACTTTGCATTTGATAATAATTGTTTCTTGGAATTTACTACTTGCTCAGAAATGAAATGTTTCTGAAATTCTTGCTCTCGTTGGACCCTTTGCATCTATACACATCATTACAATGTCTAGAGACACAATCTAGTAGATCATTGTATCGAGTACTTGGATCATAGTCTCTTACCATGAAAAGGGCTGCAAAGGAAGGAGGAACTCTGAGCCCCAGCTCCTGAACTGACCCAATTATTTGCATTTTTGCAGGTTGAACGTTTATTTTATTTTTTATTTTTTTTCTGGGCAAATAATTGAAAATTTTTGTTTAAGAAAGGAAGTTGCTCGCAAGTCCGCTCGACTAAGCCAAACATGAGCCGAGCTCATTTTTGGTTAGCAAGTCACTCACAATTTCACTCGCTGAACAACGAGCCTAGCCTAGCTGAGATCACATGCTGAACCAAGTTGTCTTGGCTCAGTTATTGCCATTACTACGTATAATAAATAATTGGCGCTCTAATTTGGAAAGGGTTAGAATGTGATATCAAGACACACTCTACGTAGTTGAATACTTGCTCTCTCAACTAAAAGTGTTCGCTTGAAAGGGGTGCACTTATTTACTTAAATTATGTCTGCGGCAGGTTTCTTGGAAAGGACTTCAGGTGTGGGAAAAGTGATCGGGTGGGCACCCCAACTGGCCGTACTGTCCCACCCAGCTGTTGGCGGATTCGTGTCCCACTGTGGCTGGAATTCTACGCTGGAGAGCCTATGGTTCGGGGTGCCGATGGCTACATGGCCAATGTACGCCGA